AGATGAGGGCTTTTTTAGCTCCTGTGTCCTTTAAGTTGTACTTCCAAGAGAATGCTGAAGGCTTTTTGTAACTAATTATTTGTTATCTGGGGTTTGATATTTGACATGTGTATGTAAGATGGTGCAATTTTATGTAACTTTTTTAAATTAAACTGAGAAGACATAGTTAAACTTTGAGTGGAGAAAAAGCTTTTATCATTACTTCAGGAATATATATTAAGTTCTGTTCCACTCAATGCAACTAACACTCCTGCTGTAATGTAAATCTAAAGAAACAGTTAGAACTGTATGAATATTTTTGCTGCACTGTCCTCAAGATTGTCTGTTTATATGTAAACAAAATGACTTTTCAAATTTCAGTGCATTAAAGCTGTTTATATATGTTCAGAAATATGGCACGTGAAGTTTCCTTCAAGATTCAAGAGTGAGGTGCCTTTTAGATTGCTAGCATTTTCCAGAAGTGTATAGTGTTCCCTGCAGATGTTCCCATTTGCTGTTCCAGCTGATTTCCTGATGCTTTCTAAAAATTAAAGTTTCTAGATATGAGAACACTTTTTTCCTCAATATACTGCTGCTTTGGGTTGAGGTTTTTTATTATTTGTAGGAATTACAAAAAGTCAGAGAGTGCTCTTGGGTACCTCAGTGCTGCAGAGAAAACAATCCAGGATTGTTTTGTGGCAAAGTGCCAGCAGACCTCTGCCTGCTTTGTCAGAGAAGAAACCCTATTTGTTTTTATTCTTGATTATAAAACACCGTGTTTCAGGATTGCATTTGGTAGGTTGAAGAAAACAGTGAGGCATTGGAACAAAAGCCGGAGTAACTGGTGTCATTACACTTCAGGTTCCCATGTATATATGTGGTTTACCTATGTGGCATTTCCCTATGGAGCAGGTAGCCAGGCCATGCTGCAGCCAGGCTTGATTTGCCAGCTGTGCAGGTGTTTTGTGGGCTGTGGGCTTCAGGATCTCTGGAGAAATTATGTAGTGGGTTTTGAAGAGGTTTCTCTGAAGCAGCACTAGTTTGAGCTCATTGTTCTGAGTACTGTGGTGTGGAGCTTCCACTTGTAACGTTGGACCACTTATGCAGTAAACTTCTTGAGTTAATGTTGTGAGGGACAATAAGTGTCTACAACCAAGTAATCTTGAGTTAAACTTAAGCAGACACAACTGTGATTTTCCTGCCTCCCGTATTCGACTCTTTCTTCTATGCATTGAAGCTGGTTTTTGATCTTACCTGGAGATGAACCGGGGACCTTGCAGTTCACAAATGTTAGTGGTTAGATTTAGAAAAATATTCTAGGAAGACAGAAGTCTAGAATGTGATAAAAGCCCTAAAATACAAGAATTTACACCCATCGTGATGCCTGCTAGTGTGGTTATAATTGCATATTCTCATACGTACTTTCTATCATTGTATTTCTAGATAGATGCTTCCCTGACAGTGTTAAAGAATTACTACCATAGTCTAATTTTGCATTGTATGAGAAGGTTTTCTTTTTGATCTGTTTGAAATTTCCGGGGTTTATAAATGTCTAATCCTTGTGCTATGCAACAGGTACAACAAAATATCTTGTCTTCCATTTCTTGATATTTCTTCAAAACTTGTGGCCTAGGATGTAGTTTGTTGCTTGTTTTTTTTAATTAGAGACGTCTGTAGCAGTCTGTATTCCAAGTTTGTTTTCCTTGAATGATCGGGATACTGCGCCGGTAGTATTGTGAATCACATGAGCTATAAGCCAATATTTTCTCATAAGATTATTAAAATGCACAACATCTGTAATACTACTGATAGTCAGAAATCAGCACTTCCTTCACGTAATATTACAGTATTCTTCACAGTGCACTTTATGTAAAAAAACACACACAAAAAACCACCCCAAAACCAGCCACCACCACTTACTTAGCATTTCCCCGGTTTGTTCATTAGGGGGCACTGCATAGCTGTAGAAGAATCAGCAGGATTTGCAGACACTTTGCAGTGATGCCACTTCACATTCCATAACCCCCTCTTTCAAACTGTCTGGGGCCAGTGTAAGACGAAAACATTGCAGTAATTTAAGCTCAGTTCTGACTAAGTCTGTTATTGGTAATTATACAATACCGTGCTGGCATATGAAGTTCCAAACTTCTGTGTCCAGAGAAGTGTCTTTGTAGGAGTTCACAGCGCTGTCTGGTTTGCCTTTTATGTTGATCTTACACATGAGAAGATGCGCACTACTACACGCTGCTTTGTAAATGTTAAACCTGGAACATAATTGCACTCACTGGACTCCAGTTTAGTCTCTGTTTACCATTGGAAATGGTAAATAACATTTATCATTACTCCCAATGGATCCTGAGGGGGAAATGTTAACTGCTTTCTCTCCCGCTCTACATACAAATATGTGTTTTGCTTTAGGACATAGACTATTCTGTGATGAATACCAACACTTGCAACTGGAGAGAGATGACTGTAAAAAGCATTTTATAAGCAACATAGGAGCAGAATGCTTTGCAGTAATGAGTGTTAATCTGTACCAGTTTGTTTCTGAAGAGAATGTACAGAATACCGTAGGACCTAATAAGGCTTATTTTCAAGGAAACTAGGCTAAAACAGTCTCGTCCATTGTTGAAGGGTAGCAACCCAGAAATTATAGGAAATCCAGCCAGACTATTTTGATGGAAGTTTGTAAAAAGGCAGTGCACATGGCAAAGAGCTTTTTTGGAACTCTTGTGTAGGAAAGATACAAAATCTTAGCTCCAGGTTTTTCTTAGCTTTCTTTCAGGACTTCTGCCAGCAGTGCTGCACCTGCCTCATTTGTCTGAAATCCTCGCTAAACCTAGGTGATCTGCAAAACTGAAGCAAAGGAAAGATGATACCTCTTCTAAACTAAGAGGGTAGAGGTATATGATGAGGGTAGTCTGTTCCTTCTTGGAATTATATATTCTCCTCAAGACCTTTCGGGAAGTAATGCTTATTGTAATGCATTGTCAGCTCTATTTCAGTGAGCTGAAATAGTGAGCTACTATTACATGAGTGGGCACTCATACCTAATGCTGCTTAGGTTGAGAGTGTGACAGATTGCACTACATGAACTAAAGCTGCCTAGAATAAACTTTGTGGTGATCCTTATGGCTGAAAACACAAAGTAGTCTTTGGCATTGACAGCTCTTGCACTGAATGATTAACACTGGTTAGGGAAAAATGTAATGCTTTTCTCTGACCCGTTCAAATGTCAAACACATGAATATGTTGTATTCAGTTGGATTTTGGAGGACAATACTTCTATTTCACACTGAAAGCAAACATCATGATTGTACTGTTTCCAAGAGTGTCTTGTTCTGGTCGGTGTTGGCCTGTTGCTTTGCTTCTACCACCTCTGTCAAAAATCTTTTCAGTAGAACCAGATCTTGGTGTGTAATAGTCTAAAATACTTGTCTCTTAATAATCCTGTAAATGTTATTTCATTTTAATGTCTAAACCAGAGCTGCAGTCACCAATTCTTTCACTAACTGTAATGTGAAACATTTTAATGCTTAAATGAAGATTTAAGATGAAAATCTTAATCAATCTTAAACATGGCAGATCTTGTTTTATAAAACTTACCCATCATAACAATAGTTACAGACAAAATATTAGTATTAGCTGTTCTCCTACTGTTTTAGTTTAGAATTTTATTATATTTTTTGCCCTTTAAGATATGTTGTTAGTATATGAAGGCATGAGTGTAGCTTGTACTCAATAGGGACTTAAGCACCCTGGTTTTACAAGCTGGCCATGAACAGCTGAGCAACTCCTCCATGGAGGAGGAACAGTTGCTTCTCCCCACCATCCCTCTGGTTACTGTTTTCCCCTTTGCTTTTTTTGCATGAAAAAAATCTTAGTTCTGGTGGGTAAGCTGTGCAGAAGCCAGATGAACACCCTCCCAGCAACAGAGGCCTGTATTGCTGATCAACGAGTGTGTAGCCATCAAATTGAGGGAAACAGCAGCACCTACCTGTTCACTACTTACAAGGCTATGTCAGGAGAACCACATCCAGCTCAGGCTTCCTGTTGACTTTGGTGTATTGAAACAAGCCCCCTGGAAGGGCTTGTCGAGAGGGCTTGATGCATGGAGCATGTGATGAAGCTGGGGGAGTGGGGTTACTTATTCTGAACAAAAGGAGGCTGAGGAGGAGGAGAAGCCTTGCTCCTGTCTTTGACTGTGTGATGGGGTGGGGAAGACAGAGAAATACCGTTCGCAGCTGCATAGTACTTCCACGTATTCCACTCTGAAAAGTCAGTGAGGGAAATCCTGATAAGCTATTGGAAAAAAACCCTTACCTTGAGGGATTTCAGACATTGGAACTGATTGTCCAGAAAGGTTTTGGCTACTCTATGTTGAGAATGATTCAAAACTCGCTATGGTTCTAGGCAATCTGATCTATGTTGGCTCTGCAGTTGAGCTGAAGGTTGGATAAGGTAATCTCCAAGGTCCCCTTCAACCTGAATTATTGATTAGACTGTTACTAGTGAGATGAGAGCCCTTGTAATCTTCTGTTTATAAATGTGATGAAGGAGTTTTGCTTAGCTTTGGGTCCAGGTTGTCTGTTCCAGGAGTGTTTATGTGTCTTAAAAACATACAGACATCCCACTGATTTGATCTTGTGCTGTAGGATGGTGTATATGGCGATCTCCTTCATCACTTATCGCTCTTAAGATTTAGCATCTCTAATGGGTTCCTTTAAGGAAATGTAAGGTAAATCAAACTAGTTTGAGATAAATAATGCCTGTCTGAGTGTGTTTGTGTCTGGGGGGCCTTAGTGACTGCTGCTCTCCTTTTACTGAGATTAAGTTCTTAGCAGACTGTTGTCTCTCACCTGTGTCAGTAAGGCACCTGGTTATTTCATTAACTTTAATAACAAGCAGGAACATGCAAAATCAGCAGATGGTTAGATTTCTTCTTCCTGGGTCAAACTTCTGGATTTGCACATTCCAAAATGCTTGTAACACTCTCTGTCTTTTACTTTCAATGTTCACAGCAATTGGAAGAAAGAAGTGAGGATGAAGAGGATAAAGAGTGCTTAAAGCAAGCAATAACTGCCTTACTCAATCTTCAAAGCAGTATGGAACGGATATGCTCCAAAAGCCTTGCAAAACGAAGGCTTAGGTAAACGTTTCCGGTTTTCCTGCTTTCTGCTCTTAATGCTTTGCTATAAATCCAGGGCTCCCAGTTTCCTCTTTTAGTAAACAATGAACAAAATAGTTTGTGACAAGCCTGCTTTTTCAGAGGAAGTGACATCAAAGCCAAGATAATTTGTTATTGTTTGAAAACAGTTCTAATTTCTATGTGTCCTTGCAAACTGGTAGTTGAGACGTTCTGAGAATTCACTGGTAAGTAGAAAGTTATGGCATTCGTGGGATAATTATGCTCAGATAATAAATATCCACCTATATTGTAAAAGTACCTTTCTGTGTGATTAGAAGAGAATGTTCTTGAATTTGAAATCTGAAGAGTTTTTTGTGCAATATTAGTTAAAATTATCACTGGATAATAGAAATAGATGCATAGCTAACTGGTACTTAGTTGCACTGTTGTAGCAAATTCTTGGATTATGCTACCTGCTGTTTCTTTTAATGCTAATGTTTCTGTAATTATTTAAATATGTTAAAACTTTGCTTTTGCTCTTAAAATTGTTTCAATATTTTCTTTGCCAGACAAGTTTTGTGCTGCAAAGGGTAATCTTTAGGCTTGGATATGAATGCATTTAACAGCTTATTTTTTCTGAATGTGCTCATTTCAGATTAATGCAATCTAAAATTGTTTTGTTGGTTATGAAAGTGAGTGGTTTGTTAGGGTAAAAAGCACTAACAACTTGCCTGCATCTGGTTACCTGTGTTTAGGTAAAATATTTGTTGCTGAAGATAAGTAGAGAATTTATCAGATGAGATACTTAACAGAAGCATTAGTCAAGGCTTACAATAATGCTGATATTGAGTGCTGGAATTGCATTCTCAGTAGAATTCGCACTACTCAGAATGATGATCTGGTGTTTTTGCTGTTAGAGGTGGTTGTGTTTTTCAAATACATGTATACTAATAGGCTGCCTTTCTCCCATCCTTCACTGAAGTGAATCTGCATGCCGGTTCTATACTCAGCAGATGAAGGGGAAACAGCTAGCAATTAAGAAAATGAATGAAATCCAGAAAAATATTGATGGTTGGGAGGGTAAAGACATTGGACAATGCTGTAACGAGTTCATCATGGAAGGAACACTCACACGTGTAGGAGCAAAGCACGAGAGACACATATTTCTATTTGATGGCTTGATGATTTGCTGTAAGTCAAATCATGGCCAGCCAAGACTTCCTGGTGCTAGCAATGCAGAATACCGACTAAAGGAAAAGTTCTTCATGCGAAAGGTACAAATCAATGATAAAGATGACACTAATGAGTACAGACATGCTTTTGAAATCATCTTAAAAGATGAGAACAGTGTTATTTTTGCTGCTAAATCAGCTGAAGAGAAAAACAACTGGATGGCAGCATTGATATCTTTGCAATATAGAAGCACGCTGGAAAGGATGTTGGATGTAACAATGTTGCAGGAAGAAAAAGAGGAGCAGATGAGATTTCCAAATCCTGAGCTTTATAGATTTGCAGAACCCGACTCTGAAGAGAATATTGTGTTTGAAGAAAACATGCAACCCAAATCTGGAATCCCCATCATCAAGGCAGGAACTGTTGTGAAGCTCATCGAGAGGCTGACTTACCACATGTATGCAGGTGAGGCACTTGGTTTATATAGCCAAAACTCAAGGTGGTGACTCATTTATGCTTCTCTTCCTGTGTTAAATACATGCAGCAAAATATAGAAAGTGAGTGGAAAGTGAGTGTGCTTTGCAGTGCACATACTCTAGTATGCTCTTTGGGTTATAGTTTTGACATCTAAGTATTCCCTGCTGTAGCTATTAAGAATATGAATCCTGTTTGGCTGAACATATGCATGTGCATAAGGTTTTCTTGTGCAAGGGATGGGGGGATGGGGGCCTGCAGGAATTGAGCTCTAGACAATACTTTTTCCTTTATGCCCCAGGCTACAAGAATTGCCTTCCCTGGAGACTTCCAAAGCTTGGTGGCACATGAAGCGCCAACATTGCAGGAGAAATTATGGGCCCAGTGTTTTCAGTTAAGGGTTGTACTCTATCATCTGTAACCTATGTCCGTGCTGGCATGTAATGGAAAGACCAATATCAGCTTGATAGAAGCAGTCACTTGCATAATTTGGCCTCAGGACTTTGTCTTAATCAGAACTTCAGTGAGAATTTGATGTAAGGACTTTTGACTTAGGGTTTCTGTTTGTGTTGAAGACACATTAAAGACATTTATGTGATTGTCCAGGCTAACCTCAATGTGTGGAGTTTTTCTTGATAACATCCCAGCATTTTCATAAGCTGTGCTGCCAAGCATGGGCTTGCATTTGGGGTTTGGAGGTTTTTTTTGTTATTTTTCTGGTTCTATCTGTGTGTCAGTTATTCTAAAACTTCACACATCTTGGTGTTAGTGCTTTTCATATTCAACAGTTTCTTTTTTTTCTTTCTATTTACTCTTTGCACTCTTGATTATCATAGATTGTTCTTCCGCAGCTCAGTCCTAGATACCCTCCATAAACCAGGAATATTTGATTGAAAGAATATAATACATACATTATATAAAAAGCAGAATATAATTTGTGTAGTTTAGTACTCATTTACTTTTTTAAGTACTTGTAATTGCTTCTCTTTACTCCACTGCTTTTATTGCTCTTCTTCTCAGTTCCTTGAATTTTTCTTACATTTACTAAAAAGCCAAGTGCAATATTGTGCTGGCAGTTTTTACCAGAGCAGTCTTGTGCCTATCTTCATTTTCTTGTAACTTTATAAACTTCTAGCTCTTGGCTTCAAATTTTGTAGGCATGATTTATTACATAATTTTATAGTTTTGGAAGTTAAAATCAAACAATTCAGTCTTAGAGAATGGAAAACACTTTTTTTTTTTTAAGCTAGTGTTGTCTTTGCCAAAGAATTAGCAAAAATAGCCCTTCATTAGTGCCCTTGTGAACATTTGCTTTGCTTTGGCTGACTTGCGCACCGTTGAAAATTGCCTTTTTCAGACGTGCTGGGCCTTCAGTGCCACAGCTAACAGGGCTCTTCAGGCATTGTATCTGTCCAGGGAGCCACAGACTACATTGTTCAGTTCCATAAAACAGGAAGGCCTCTTTTTGTGACGTGTGTAGCTTGTTGAAATACGTCTCTTGTATGGGGTTTTTTGTGTCTGCATCTCTTTCTTTGGCTTTTCTAGCCCATAGAACATCAAGAATTCAGATCAATTGATTAGATCCATTTTGTCCACTGTCATTTAAATCCCTGCTTGTGACAATGTCTATTTAATAGGGCTTTAAGTAGGTTGCTTGAAGCCTAATGTTGTAGGTTTGGGTGACATTGACCAAACTATTGCATGAGAACACTGAGAACATAGGTATTGTGAGATAGGCTGAAAGACTTTGACCAAAAGGATAAAAATGGTTGTCTTGTAGTGTATTTAGCCTGTCTTTGTAGCCTTAAAGATCTTTGTGCAACTTACATGGACGTGATGCTGAATTGCTAGATTGCACATCATTTCTCAACACTTATCTTCTATACCTTCTGCTTTATAATTGCTTATCTGTGAGGAAAAACATCATTGTTCTAATCATTCTGTGCAGTCTTTTCCAAGGGTACAAATAAATAAGAGATATAATGACTCAGCCAAAAATGCTCTGTTGTACAGGAAGCATGGTCCATTTTCCGTGTAAATCATTCAGTGTTTTGTTGCATCTTGTGAGATGCAGGGATTAGGACAACAGCTTTCCATGGTAACACTTCAACTCTTTCATACGTGTGTCAGCTGAGCTCAAGGCTTCTTGCTTGCTTAGAGACGTGGGAAGATGAATACTCTGGTGATATGTAACCAAACAGCTACAGACTGGAGAAATGCTTTTCTTGCCCACATAGGATTGTGTTTGTGTGATGGTAATCTTAAAAGATTTTGTTGACTCTACATTCTTATGCCAGAATAGCAAGCCTTTACTTTTCTGAGGCAACTTTTCTCAAATACGGTGTGACTGGTTGTGTCAGCCCTTGAACTGACAGTTTCAAGACAGTATTTACCATAGCTGTGACTTTTCTTTACATTTTTTTCTTTGTAGGTCAAGTGATATAAAGAATAATTACAGATATAGTTGCAGAGGTGGTATGAATTTGTTGCAGGTAGCTGAAGAGCAGTTTAGTTAGTTGCATATTGAGAAGTACATGGACTCTGTTCAGACAGTAGTCAAATCAGGTCTCAACTTTTTTATCATTTGTGAAGATCCACATGATGCATCTCATTTGTAGATATGGGTGTTGGACCTTTTATTTTTCTTCCCTCACCTGCCTGACAATGCACAAACCATTTTATCAGCCAAAATATTTCTCTGTTATGCTGTGGAACAGGGACAGCTCTAAGGGATCAATGCTGCTGGGGCTGGGAAGGATCCAACCCATTGCCAGAACTCAGACAGGGAGAGAGCCCTGATGGCCACCTGGCCCCAAGGTGCAGCAGACTGTCCAAACTATCCTGTGGTGGAGCAGCGAAACAGGGAGAAATCTCCTCTGCAAAAGCAACTTTCCATATATTTTTATATGAGAGAAACTGCCCTTCAATTAGAAATTCAGGTTCTGACCCGATTTGCATATTCTGGTGGGGTTTACTTGTTTTAATATGTTTCTGTATTTGTTATCTCCTCTTGCCTGATTTTTGTTTAAGAGCAGCTCAGTTAGGTGGTACCAAGATTTTAAAATCATGGCAATTTTTTTCATCTATAGGGCAGTGCTCTTCTATTTTTAAAGCTTTGATATGTTAAGAGTGCTTGTGCGTCATCATAGTGTCCGTTTCCTTTCTTAAGGAATTCAAGGGTGATTATTTATAAATCCTTGTAGAACAAGTTATTGTTCTTTTTTAGCTTTCAAATTGGCTGCATTGAAGAGAGAATTATCACATGAACAGACATCCTGGCTAACTAGTGTTGTCTGTATTTTTTTTAACACTTGCTCGTATACTGTACACTATTTTGAGTTACGGTCTTTGCTAGTAAGATAACAAAGTTAGATTTGATTTTCTGATCTACTTCATTTAAAATTCAATATGTATTGTGAATTTGTTTGCTGACCCTACCTGTAAATAACAATAGCTATGACTCAGAGCTTGCAGTGATTTGAAAATGTTAATTGCCATGGAGGCTTTATTTTTCATGTAGACAAAATCTTTTTAGGGTAGATGCTATGTGCAGAATGCAAGCTGCGAAAGCATGAACTACTCTGCTTCCTTAGTACAGTAAAAATTGTGTGTTTTCACAGTGAGAATGATGGGGACACGGATGACATCTTTTGTGCAAAAAGCATTGAGGTTTTGCCTTTGAAAATAATTTTGGACTGTACAGTTTCCAAGAGTGATGGGAGAGGAGTTATGATTAGAAAAATGGAGTAATGAAGGACATGGGTAAAGCAGAATAGCCAATTGTTTAAGAAATGGGAATTATCATATAACAGAAATGCAAGTAGATGCTGTGTTACACAATACACAGTTAACCTGTGTGACACATCACAGTAAACTGTTGCTTAAATGAAGAACTTAGTGGGATCTAATAAGAGTAGAACGTTCATTCAAATGGACAAGATGCTGGTAAAAAGTTAAGGAGGATTTTAAAACAGCTCTTAAAAATCCATATTCTAAGAAACAAATCTAATATAGCATTAGGACAAATAAAGCAAGCTTTTTTTCCTATGTTACAGCCTATAGGAACTCCTGCTTCAAGTCCTGTGTGCTCCTCTTCAGCCACTCTGTGTTAGAACAATTACCAGTTGGGGTTAGGTTTTAAAATCTGAATATGGATTTAATATGCAAAGCCATTGCAATTCGCTCACTAATTTTGTTCAGTGATAACAGTGTTAACCTTGTTTCGAATTAGCTCTGTGCGGTGCCAGTGTGCTGTCACTGCATTTCCTCATACTTGAAAACAAATGGTTTTGCTCTTGTAATTATGGGAGACGCTTTGGTTTTTTGTTTTGAATACTTGCTTGTTTTTAAAAAACATTTTCATATTGTAAATGAACTGATAAGTAATTAGTCAATTTAAATGAAATGATTGATTTTCTTGAAGTGAAATAAATATAACCTCAAAGTATAGCTCTCAAGTTAGCTGAAAAATGTCTGGTCTGCCTTAACCATGACCAGTTGTCCAGTTCAGGGAAAACATTCTCCTCTAGAAGAGGCCATTTCTACCCAATGCAAGGTTACTTGCTGTGTCATTTTTAGTTATCTTGTCCCAATCATTGTCAAAACCGAAGTTGTTGACTAGATAGCTCATAAATAAAATCATCTATTTGTTACTTTTGAAGTCATTGGAAAAGAATCCTGTCTTTTAATAATTGAAGGGGGGGAAAGTCACTGTTCTGAACTTTCAACAGAAAAGAAACCTGGTTTTAAATTCTGCTTCAAATTGCTATTTTAAGAGATTCTGAATTGTTACCAAAGCCATTTAAGTTTACGTCATCTTCTCTGTAAATTGATAGGGCAGCATTCTTAATTTTAAAGGATACAGTAATTTTAAAGGAAAAAAATCAGGTAATTGCTGACATAAGTGTAAAATTATTCTTTGTCTTAGATCCCAACTTTGTTCGGACTTTTCTCACAACATATAGATCCTTCTGTAGACCTCAAGAGTTGCTGAGTTTGCTAATAGAAAGGTATGACACTGTTAAAAATACTGTTCTTATGAAGTGCAAAATTATTATTTTTTTATTTTTTACTTGGAGTTTGTAAGATTCTGGCATTCCAGTTGGTTTTGATTCACTTCAAACACTTTTTAAAAAGTTGTCAAATTCAAGGATTGCCAGTAAAATGTACAAGTTTATGTCCAGAAGCTTTATTATTGTTCAGTTAGCTCCAGTAACTTCAGCATCCCGTGGTTTTGTCTTTGAAATGTGTATTGGTATTGAATTTAGCAAATTTTCCTATGTACTTACAAAGACACAAGATTCTGCCATGTGGAAATTATCTGAATTTCATGCATGCTGTGACCAAGATTAGTGTAATAGGAGCCTAGTGCTTACACCCATCTTCTGTGCTAGATTTGAAATCCCAGAGCCTGAGCCAACGGAAGCCGACCGTATTGCCATGGAGAATGGAGACCAGCCTCTTAGTGCAGAGCTGAAAAGATTTAGAAAAGAGTACATTCAGCCTGTGCAGCTACGGTGAGTGTTGCATCCTTGTAAGCCAAACAGAATTCCTTTAAGTCTTTTGAAGTACCATCTTTTGGATGCACTGGGTCTTGGTCATACCAGCAGCCTTTCTTGTAAATGCTTTGATGGGGCAGATAAACTGTATTGTAGAGTGTTTACTTATTCTTTACTTTTGCAGAGTATTAAATGTGTGTCGACACTGGGTAGAACACCACTTCTATGACTTTGAACGAGATGCTGATCTTCTGAAACGTTTGGAGGAATTCATTGGAACAGTTAGAGGTACTTACAGTTTCTTAAATGCTGGCACTTATCATAAAGCATCCCTTTTTAAAGGTATGGAATGGAATAATTTTTCCTTTCACTGAGCAGATAAAAACAGGACTGCTTATTAAATACTTCATAAAAAGCATAAAATAAACTTTCATCACTCCCCCACCACACTGTTATTCAAAATCTGGCCCCTGTTCAGAATAATCATTGTTATTTATGTAAATAAGCACTGGTTTTGTTGTAAAGGGACTGAAATAATGCAAAGTAATAAGAACTGAGGACAGAATAATTGCTTTGATTCTCATCTTAAACTTTACACAGGGGCAATTTTTATAAAAGTTTGATGGTGGAAACCGCAATTTCTTTAAAACAAGGGTTTCCAGCTATTTCACAGTGCATATTAGAACTGTAGGACACTTTGCAGTTGTGATTGTACAGATTTTTCATGTTTTTAGATAAAACCAAGACAGATACAGGAGCAGTCAGAGAAGTATTTAATGGTTATTTAGCAGTTAAAAAGAGGGGAGAATGAGCCAGCTGGTTTAGTGGGGGCTACTGATAAATTTTCAGTGGACATTTGTATGAAATTCTTATGGTGTAGAGTTAAAAAGACATTTGGCTTTTTGATTTTATTCTGAGCTTTGATGGTAAATACAGTACAGGGAGAAGCTTCTCCCTGTTTGTAATTTGATTTTCTGTGGTTTTGGACCTGCACTCTTGCCTGAAGTATAAAGTTCAGGGTGTTTGCAGAAGTGCATTTTGGGTGAAAGAAGGTTAGTTCCCATAAATTCATTGTAAACTCAGAAAAGAAAGGAAAGCATCTAAATCAGAGCAGGAGCCTAGTTTGAATGTTCTGATTTGTGCTTGGCAAACTCGTGTTCAGCATTGGCTGTTGAGGAATTTTTTATATGTTTGAATACTTTCAGACTTGTGTGAGAACATGACTTCTAAAGAATATATGGTTGCTTTAATTTAGTAGTCTTGGGTTTAAATCCAAAGATTTCTGAATTTTACTGACCTCTTAGGAAAAACAGTAGTAAGAATAACTAAACAGTAGTTTTCTCTGTGTGCCAGGCAAAGCCATGAAGAAATGGGTTGAATCGATCACAAAGATAATCAACCGGAAAAAGCAGGCACAAGCCATCGGGCCCAGTCACAACATCACTTTTGAGAGCCCACCCCCAGCAATCGAATGGCACATAAGCAAACCAGGACACACTGAGACTTTTGACTTGCTCACTTTGCATCCCATAGAAATTGCTCGGCAGCTCACTTTACTTGAGTCAGATTTTTACAGGTAACTTTCCTCCGCTGAAAAACACACAACACAAATCAAAATGTTCTCCAGCATGAAATTGTGTCTGGGGGTGAAGCCCCACGATAGGTCAAGGGACTCTACCAATGCTGTGTATTAATTACTATTTTTGCAGAAAAAACCCTCTGAAATACGGTGTTTGTTTTATCCTCCCCAAGTTAACATGCAGTGCATGGGACTGTTGCATGCTGTTAATTGTATTGTGCTCCAGCTTTCTCTTGATATTTTCTGAGTAGATCAACCTCTGAGAAGTATGGACAATTATTATATCAGGGTCTTTTATGTCTTAGTCTCTGAAGCAGATTATGGACCATGTCATATCTCATCAGCTGTCTGTGAGAGGTTGTTTAGGCATTGGAAGCTCACATTTTATTATGGTGAATGAGATAGAGGCTCATTCTTCATTTAGATGTACAGAGGTGGTTAATAGTTGCATAGATTAAGAAATACTTACAGTCTGAAAAAGAAGTGTAGAAATATCAGCCATATAGTCATGAGGGGAGCCTAACATTGTAAAAGAGAAGTGGTACCTTAAGAATTTATTTCTAAATGTGAATTCAAAATTCAATGAAAATAAAGAAGGTTTAGGAAAATAATGTCTTCTTTCCTGCTTTTAATTATTTTAATTTTACATTTTTTGATAATGCATCTACTTTTATAGAGCTGTGCAGCCATCAGAACTTGTTGGAAGTGTATGGACAAAGGAAGATAAAGAAATTAATTCTCCCAACCTTCTGAAAATGATAAGGCATACAACTAACCTCACTTTGTGGTTTGAAAAGTAAGTGACTTTCCTGAATCTGCACCCACTCCATATCTGGACATTGACAGTCCATTCACAAGGATACTGTGAAAAATTCTGTTTGGGGAGAATTCCTGTTTTGAGTTGTGTTTAGATGCTAAAACTGGTCCCTGCAAGAATTTTAACATAATGGTCTCAGCTTTTTATTCTTAGAATATTTTCAAATCTCTAAACATGTTCAGAACTGTCTCAATTAATTTGATAAACTCATATTTGTTTGTGTTATGACTTAATATTTGATTTTGGAAAACTCACCAATGCTTTAATACAAAATCAAATGTTCTTGTGTATTTAGATGCATTGTAGAAACAGAAAACCTAGAGGAAAGAGTAATTGTAGTGAGCCGGATAATTGAGATCCTGCAAGTTTTTCAAGAGCTGAACAACTTCAATGGTGTCCTTGAGATTGTCAGTGCTATGAACTCTGCAGCAGTGTATAGGTTGGATCACACATTTGAGGTACAGTGAAATGTTTTCCATTTCTGGTATGGAAGTGTACCTTAGCTACACTAAAAAAGCCTGTCTTTTCAGTAAGCATGTACTTCAGAGAAGGAGCAAGGAAAGTAAATTCCCCAAGAAACTAATCAATCAGGGTGTAATAGAGAGGGTTTTTTACTTGGTTTCAGAAGCAAGAAATCCATCCTCGCTTAAGAAAAGCTTCTCAGGATGGTGGGGCACTGTCCTCACGGTCTCTCATTTAAATATCTGTAGGATATTAGTCTCAGTATTGTTGCTGGGCTACACCTCTACCCTGCCTTTCCAAACAACCTGTTTAATCTCTCTTTTAAGCAAATTCCAAGTCGCCAGAAGAAGATTTTAGAAGAAGCCTATGAGCTGAGTGAGGATCATTATAAGAAATACTTGGCAAAACTCAGGTCCATTAATCCTCCTTGTGTGCCTTTTTTTGGTAAGTATGTTTGGTTTGAATGAGCTATATTATGCGTAAACATTTGGAAAGTATTGAGCTAAGGTACTAAACAGAGTATAAACAATAGTGACAAGTTGGTTTTAACAGGACAGGTGGGTTGGAATTTCAGGTGCCCAGACATTAATTACATATATGTGAAGGAAAAATTAAAGTGACTATTAGTTGCAGATGTTATCTGCAGTAAAAATAACTATGTCTGCAATATCTTATTTACATATTTACTCATTTTTACTTTGAATGTGGTTTGAAGTGACCAGAAATGCCTTAAATAGAAGGCAGTCACATTAGAAATATTATTGCCATTGACTAGTAGAGAAAGAAGGACCCCCATCAAGAACTTTGAGAAATAAAGCTAGAGTCTCATTTCTACTAAAAAGTCTTATTTCTGTAAAAGCAGAGTTTTGGAAGAAAGCCTCCTCTTTATCATCAGATTTAAGAGTTCTTCTTTAAAGTAGATTGCTGAGATTTAGCAAATTGTGATGTTAAGCACATGGCATTCCTGTTCTTGAGCAAGTTACTTAAATGTTTGCTGCAGGTCAGTTCCAAGTCTGGACATTGCACTTGTCCAACATAAGCTTCAGGCCAAAACTGAAAGAAAATAGTGTTGATGGGTTCTTTGGCCTTTTACCAGTTGGGGAAAGATATACTCCAGAGCCCTACAGAGAAAGATAAGATCAACTGAGAAACCTTCTGTCCTGCCTCAGAGATGAGTAGAGGTTAGCAGAATCACATGTGAATAGCTTCAGTTAGTTCTGTCAAGTTATACTTGGAAGAGTCATCATTACAGTTCCAGATACATTATCTTTGGAGTTGAGAGCACTTTTTTCTTTCAAATCTTCAAATGATTTGGTGCAATTGTGAAGCCAGGATAAAACCCGAAAGTAAATTTTTGGAGTTTAGTTGGGGTGTCTAGTGGAGTAGAGCCATTAAGAGCACTTGTGTTCAGTATACACTTTTAGTGCAGAATGCTAGTAGTGTTCAGTTGTGTAAGCTTCCTTAACAATAGAAAGATGCATAGTCTTTGGGACTTTGGTGAAAAAAAAGGCAACTTTCTGGAAAAGGCATGTTAAAATATTTAAATTGTTACCCTTATTTGAAAATTAGGTGGGATTCTCTTATTGACACTAACAGCGAGGTTTTCTAAATAATTAGAGTGCACTAATTAAATTCTATAAGAATTCTTTGTATTCCAGTCGTGACTTCCTCCTTGTTTTGTACTACGTGTTGAGAACTTCTTCTGTGTGCTCTTTAGGGATTTACTTAACTAACATTTTGAAAACAGAAGAAGGCAATCCTGAATTTCTGAAGCGACACGGGAAGGAACTTATAAACTTCAGCAAGAGAAGAAAGGTAGCTGAAATAACAGGAGAGATACAGCAGTACCAGAACCAGCCATATTGTTTAAGAGTGGAATTTGACATCAGGGTAAGCGGCATGACTTCTTTGAGTCCATGCACTGAGCTACTTTTGTGATGATTCTATCAGCTGACAGACCCTAAGCGTAGACTGAATTCACATAGATTCAAGCTGACTTGATCAGAGATGAGCCTGTCATAAAACCTCTCTTGGGTATCACCGTAAAAAAGAGCAAAAAGCTCAATGCTTGCAGTTTGGTGGGGTTTGTTTCATTTTTTTCTCAGCTACTGGGACATTGGTAGATTTTCTTATTGGTCAGTGTTAAACAGGAACTGAAAACTAATGGATTCTCACTGTCCTTCGCTCAGTTAAAATTATCTGTCCAGTGATCCCAGTTGTCTTTTCCTCCTGTGTTACACTGCCTTTATGTTTCCAGGTTTACCTGATAGCACTATGTTTACATCATGCGTTGATGGTGGTGATACATTTTTCTTTCTCCTGGTACTTGTTCTCCTTGGTCTGAGGTGTTCTCTAGGCCACGTCCTCTCTGTTTGCTTTCCTTTCTTCCTTTTTTTTTTTTTTTTTACTATATTTTGAGCTACATACTTTCAGAGTCATAGGACAGGCTATCTTAAGAGATTCTGCAAGATTTTCTTCTGTTATTTGTTCTCCTCAGGCTTTGACTGCATCATGAGAGTAGTCTTTCCTGCATCAGTGTAACAATAGACTACATGCAGCTTCTTCTGAAGGTGTTGGAGCTAACTTGGTCTGATTTTGCACTGCAGAAAGTATTTAGGGTACTTGCACAACTGGTTTTCAGGCCAAGCACAGCAGTAGCAATGCCCAGCAAAGGGCTGGCAACAAATAGATTTAATAACTTAAAAGTCTGCTGTTCCTTCTGACTCCAGCATTTTCTGTCTTCTCTTGAACAGTTGGGATCAGTAGAAGCAAACAGTACTAAGAAGCAGTTTAGCTGACAAGTTTTCTACCTTCTTGTATTTCAGAGATTTTTCGAAAACCTGAATCCAATGGGAAGCAGTGTGGAGACAGAATTTACAGATTATCTGTTCAACAAGTCACTAGAGATAGAGCCAAGAAATGTCAAGCCTCCTCCAAGATTTGTTAGTATTCAAGTTTTGTAAATTTTTTTTCAAAAAGTGCTTACATTTGTCTCTCATAGATAACAGAAGTCATTTTAGATCTCTGACTTCATAGATACAAAGCTACATTTAGGTGATCTCATGGCCTTTTGATTTTGTTTGATACTATCTTTTTTTTATCGTTTCAGCCCAAAAAGTACAGCTATCCTCTCAAGTCTCCAGGTGTTCGTCCTTCTAATCCAAGGCCAGGTACCATGAGACATCCTACACCTCTGCAACAGGAGCCAAGGAAAATTAGTTACAGCCGCATCCCAGAGAGTGAGACTGAAGCTACAGCATCTGCACCAAACTCTCCCCGAACACCTCTGACCCCTCCCCCTGCTTCTGCCACTTCCAGCACCACAGACGCCTGCAGTGTGTTTGACTCCGATCCTTCCAGTCCCTTTCATACAAGTAGGTGCTAATAGACAGTCCACCAACAATGTACCTGTTAGATTTTGTGATGTTAGACAGGTGAAATCGTGCTTAGTCTTCTAAAGTGACTATAGAAGTGGTTGCTTTTGTCTCCTTGCAGCAGCAAAAACTTTCAGTGTTTTTTATTCCTTTTTTCTTTAGTAAGTTTTTATTATAAAGAGAGAAACTGAACAGAATTAGGTATGTTAGATAGAGACTATGACAAGGCTTTGGAGGAACTGTCAAAACAGAAGGCAGAGATGTATCTCTAGTGCCTATATGTGTCCCAAACAAACTTGCAGGATTTGCTTCCAAATATATGTGGGTTGAATATGTTTGGTGAGTATCTGATGGTGAACAATGGGAGTGAAAAGTGAATGTTTTGTGGGTGCCTTATTTTGCTCTCTGCCATTACAAATTGGTTTCATTGTACATCGATGGTTTTCCTGCAGAACTTGAAAATAAGTATTTCCTTGCTTTAAATCCATCAGGACCTATCCACAGCTGTTTTTCTTCTGTCTTCACCGACATACAAGGAACCTCATATTTTATGGTGTGCTCTCAGTAATTAATAATGGATATAGCCTCCTTTCATGTATGAGGGCTTTCAAAGGTCAGTCCTGTGTTCAGCTGATTGCCACAAGGAGGTGAAATGACTTGCTAAAAGCAGAGGTTGCTTAGCAGAGCAATGGCATTGTTGAGTTCCAAGCCAGGTCTCTGGAATACCTCTTCAGAAGATGTTTCTTCATTGTGGGGTTGACTGCAGGTTCAGGATGTTGTTTTAGTGCTGTTGTGGTATAAGAATGAGTTTGTGGTGTGGTTTTGGTCTCGAGGATTACTTAAGAATGTTCAGGAACTGATGGCCACAGCCATCAGATGTTTGCAGCTCACAAAAGCAGTTTATCTGGAAGCTGCAAGTTAGAGGCTTGTTTCGTTGTCTTTATTTAACACCTTTTTGATTCATGATGCTTTTTATGAGCAAGTGCTTTATTATTTATGACACCTTTATTGGCAGCAATAAAGAAAATATATTAAGTCAAACAAAAGTTCATCATTATCGACATTTTTTTTAATGTCCACTAGGATCTGCTTCTGTGTCATCCATAAACTTTACCAAAAATTCAGATGATGCTCCTGTCCCTCCTCCAGTTCCTCCACGAAGAAGACCAGAATCTGCCCCAGCTGAATCCTCCCCATCAAAAGTAAGTATGGAGAAAAAAGGTTATTTGTCTTCTGGGAGCAGAGGGCAGGGTGTGATAGAAGGTAATTCTTAAAGGTAGATGCACATTTATTTTTGAGGAACTGTATGTGAAAGAATAAGCAGCCATGTATTTCAAGCCTTCACAGCTCTGCCTCATTATGTCTTGATCTCAAACAGATGAAAACAGATGGGACCTAACTTTAGGGTTAGAAATGTCTCATCTACTGGTGTGCTATGCTCAGGCCCTGTAACTTGAGGCTTCAGGCAGGTGTTTCTATCTGCGATAATTGTTCCAGAGTATCATTGTAGGATGGATGAATGGGGGTGAAGAACTGAGGAAAACAGTAATAATGGAAAGTGATGTACGCAATTCAGTCCTCTGAAAAGTTTCTTCAGAATATTTGACCCTGATGCTGTGGTGCTCAAGTGCCTTGCTTTCTCTTCCTATTTACCTATCCTGTCTGCCTGCCTCCTTAAGCCATTGCTACGTATTCCATTTGCATTTGTCTGGCTGTTGGCATCTGATCCAGCCTTTTTTGCAGACAGCGTCAAATTTCTCCTGATTTCACTGTGAGCTAGTTTGTGACTTCAGATTTGAAAATCCCTCTCAAAATTATTTCAGAACACATATTTCTTTGAAGAGGGCTTGTATATGGCTCTTCAGCAAGTTTTCAGACTACAGGTGACTGTGCAGTCAGTCAGCAGAATTTAATGCATCATGTTCCTACCAAAGTGTAATTGAAAACATACCTGATAGGTTGTTGGGGACCAGTTACCCTGTCTCTGTGGTCTGCAGCTTGGGAACTGTTTACTTCCATAATTCTGACTACTTAATTCCATCTTCTGAGCATAGTTTATTCTTTCCCTCTTCAGCATTATCAGCCTCTCCCCTTTCCTCGTTTTCTTGAAGAAATATCTGGTGTGTTTACCCACCCCAACTGCTTGTTGTTGGGGAGGTGGTGGAAGATACCCGCACCTCCCCAGCAAGCAGACCTGGAATTAGCATGGAAATTGTTGCTTTGACCATTCTTTGCCTTGCTTTTGTCCCTCTCTGTGCATCTTCATTCCTTCCATCCTTGGCTGTTAACTCATGTATTGATGCACCCTTGCTAAGAGCAATCCACAGTGTGGGAGCTCTGCTTCTGTGTCACAGCAGGGTCCTGTTCTTTGCTGCCACTCTAGAATTTTATTGAATGAAATGTTTGTGTATCTCAGATTACTTCTGCAAACCTGGACAACCCACCAGCAATCCCTCCTAGGCAACCAACCTCTAAAGTGTATTCACCAAGGTACTCAGTGCCTGATCGGACCTGCATCTCTGACTCTTGTGTTACCACTGTAAACCCTCCTGAGTTACCACCACGAGAACCTGTGCGAACTCCAGATGTTTTCTCTAGCTCACCACTACACCTCCAACCTCCACCACTGGGGAGAAAAAGCGAACTTGGTAACACCTTTTTCCCAAACAGTCCATCTCCGTTTACTTCCCCTCCCCCTCAGACACCTTCTCCACATGTAGCACGGAGGCATCTTCCATCACCACCTTTGATACCACAGGATGTGGACCTCCCTTCTGTTGCTGGACCACCTGTTCCTCCACGACAAAGCACTTCTCAACATATCCCAAAGCTTCCTCCAAAAACTTACAAAAGGGAGCACACACACCCATCAATGCATCGGGATGGACCACCATTGCTGGAGAATGCCCACTCCTCCTGAACTATCCCTCGCGCTGGGAGTTGCGTTTTCCTGGTGCTATGTCTATTGCTGGCAATGGATGCACTGAACCTGGTGGTGTCAAGGAGTTGGGATGTGTATGCCAAACACTAAAAACTCTCCAATACATTGGAAATGTAGTGTACAGAAATGGAATTACAAAAACAGACTTTCTAGTGGAAAACCTGGTTAACTTGCTGTTCTTGTTTAAGTATGCAGGACATTGTTCTAAAGTAATTGGACAACTGATTGATTGTACCAGAAAACAGGCTTGAGAGACTTCTTTGGCCAATGAGCAGAGACTGTGTTTGTGTAATGATCAATAATGTCCAGTACAGGAAGGAAAACAGTCTTGTATCCATCAGTACCATACAGTGGCACAGTTTTTGGAATGAAAACATTATGCACTTTTTTTAAATCTCAAACAGGGAACTTTATATCCTTCTTAATTTTCCTTTGCTTTACTTACTCCCTGCTTTAAAATACCTTCCTAAAGTTGTGAGAAGGACTGTGAGGAAGATCTGTGGTACCTAACCGAGCTAGAATTAAGGCAAAGCACTGTATTGCGGTTCTGTTTACAAGTTGTTACAATGAGTAGTAGGGGGTACCTAGGCTTCACCAAAGAGGTACTTTATTATTATTTTCTGAAATACTGTGGTGCCAGTTCAAAAATAAATTTTTGCCAGGAAGCATAATGTCTAATTATTGCTTTCTTTAGATAGAGCAGATTAAAGTCTTACATCATTAAGGTGGCAGCAAACTTTTTTTTAAAAGCAGCACTATCATCTGAAGCAAATATACTACTACATTTAGAAGACTGTTAATCTCTGCTAGGTTATGTCATGTTCTTTTTAAGGTTTACTGATAATCCATTTCATGGCTAGTAGCTATTCTTTTTCAGTCATGCCATGAAAACAGTCACTTGTCAACTTCCATAGCTGTTGTCATGTTTTACTAACAATAGATTAATCAGCATACATAGAATTGCCTTGCAGTTGCATAAATCGTGTGTATATAGTGAATGTTGCATAAATATACTTGCAGATTGTTTTTAATTTAATTGAAATAAAGATATGTTTGGCTGACATATGTTAAATTATTACATGGACAAATGTTCAACTTAGTTTTTCAGTTAAGCACTGAAGGGGATAAAAGCCCATGTTGTGGTACATATTTTTCCTAGTTCAATGTATGTATTTTAGTAACAAATCCAAAGAGAGGTTGGTTTTGGCATGTTACAAAATAATAATTAAGTAATGTTTGAGAAACTGGGTTACTCCCAAACAGAATTATTATACCTTATAAAATGTCTCACACCTCCTGTATGACCCATATTAGAAAAAATCAAACTTAGATTAATCTTTGCAGTAGCTTTCTGTGTCCAAAATACACATGACAGAATGTGTATGTTATAAGTATTCTGGCATGGATTATCCATAAACCTGTATGCTGCTCTTCAACTCCAGACAGTACTGGGACAGTAATGGATGGCAGTTATTGAAGAAAAGAAGCTCCGTAATCCCCTCTACAGTAAGTATGTGAGGCATAAAGTATCTCTTCTTCAGTTAATATGGCTCATGGGACAAAGTAAAATTCTCTCACATTTCCTCTTTGCAAGAGAAACACATTTCATTGTCCTGGAAAGCTGTGTCAGTTAAAGATGGTATTAACTGAATGATGATGGAAATCACCTTTTTTAATGCTTTCAGCAATGCCATTGATCAGGGCCCTTTGATCCTTTAGTGTGGTGATAACATTTCAGAAAGCATTCTGATTTCAGCAAGAATGACAGTTTTCACCATAGTCAAATCTCGAAACTGTCAATTTCCTTGGTGTCTTTCCTAATTTTGTTTTGAAACTCTTTTTCTGGCAAAAGAAGAAAAAATGAAGATCTCAAAACCTTGGCTTCAGAGGAGAACATTATATGGTAGCTTTGTAAAAACTCTCCAGCCACAGGAGGTATAGTTTAGGTTATCAGTTCTTTGGATATAAACACCACGATAAACATACTGTTGGCAATGTTATCTAAACTATTAGCTTATCAGTAGATTACCAGGAAAACTCCTTAAATTTAGACTTTTTGATCTATATTTCTTCTTTGGCACATTCTTGTCTGCTCTTGTGCAGCCAAGGCAGACCAGGCTGAAGGAATGACCCATTGGTTAGGTTGCTCAGTTAGACCTCACATGGGTCCTGCTAATCAGATTTCTTAAATGTCAGTAGGTCTCTGTTTTCCTATGTGAAATGGGGAATGCCATTTCATATTTGTGGTTGAGGATAAAAGGAGTTTTACTGGTGAGATACCCGGACAACAGGTGATAATGGCAAGAGCCTAATGTAAACATTTGTTGGATCTCAGCAGAATGAGTCAGTCCTACAGTGCACAAACCATGGTGTTTGACTCGGCTGCAAACAGGAGAAACAGGGTGGGAATCAAACCTGTTGCATTTAGAACAGGAGTTTTGAGTACAACTGCTAAGCCACTGGTTTATGTAATAACAGCTTTGTGTTAATAATCTTTAGTCTGGAATGACTTCTTATTTGGACCATAGTTGCATTAGTGACAACACTTTTCACATAGAAAATTAAATCCTTTTAATGATGCTATCTTGTCTCCTTGGTAAAATGACCCTGGATGATCTGGTGTGGCCTGGGATGATCTCGTATGGCCTGGACAATGAAACATGCTTGTGTGGAGGCTAGGAGCGTTGCTGTATTACTCTAGAGGGCTGCTGTATGGCTAAAACACAGCCTAAACAATTGCAAACTGTGTAGGCAGGGTTATAATGGTCAGCAGAACTTTATAGGTGTGGAACTTTAAAATTTGTGCTGTTTCACCTCCAGGTTTCTATGCTGTATATAGTTCAGTGCAACAGTGGAGCATAACCTGGGTTTGTTCATTGTCTTTCAGAGTGTCATGGTGGTGTCTTAGCTCAGAAAAGCCCTATGGGAATTTGGAAGTTCTAGGATTCCAGGTGCAAAGGTCTTTCACCTGGACTGGGGTAACCACTGGTTTCAGTACAGTGGGAGATGGAAGGGGTTGAGAGCAGCCCTGGGGAGAAGGACTTGGGCGTGTTGGTTGTCGAGGCACTCAACATGACCCAGCAATGAGCAGTCACAGCCCAGAAAGCCAAAGGTATCCTGGGCTGTATCCAAAGCAGTGTGGGCAGCAGGTTGAGGAAATGATTTTACCCTTCTACTCTGCTCTGGTGAGACCCCACCTGGAGCACTGCATCCATGTCTGGGGGCCTCAGCACAGGAAGGATATCACCCTGTTGTAGCAGGTCCAGAGGAGGGACACTGAAGTTGATCATAGGGCTGGAACACCTCTCCTATGAGGAAAGGCTGAGAGAGCTGAGGTTGTTCAGTCTGGAGAAGGCTCTGGGGAGACCTTATTGTGATCTTTCAGTATTTAAAGGGGGCTTATAAGAAAGATGGGGACAAACTTTTTAATAGGGCCCCTTGCAGTAGGACAGAGAGTAATGATTTTAAACTAAAAGAGGGTAGATTCAGACAAAATATAAGAAACAAGTTTTTTACAATGAGTGTGGCGAACCACTGGCACAGATTGCCCAGAGAGGTAATGGATGCCCCATCCCTGGCAACATTCAAAGTCAGACTGGACAGGGCTCTGAGCAGCCAGCTCTAGCTGAAGACGTCCCTGCTCATTGCAGGGGGTTTGGACTAGATGGCCTTTAAAGGTCCCTTCCAACCCAACCTGTTGTGATTCTGTGGTGATTTTGCAAGTGCCATGCATTTGCTTCTGTTCAGTGTGCTCTAGTGGAAAGTCAACTGTTGTGCCGCCTGGTTGACCCCAAGGTACATGCTGTTGTCATGGCATTCAGCAGCCATTGAATTTGTCTATAACTGTCTGCTAATGGAGAACATTATCCTGCTTCAGGGTTGATACCATGGAAGCATTTGAGTGCTCTGTCTTCAAGAAGCCATTTCCAGTGGGGACTAACCTGTTTCTCTAATATGCCTCTCTTAAATCAGGGAGGGAGAGGTCTGTCTCAGTAAGAGCATGCTAATACACTGGATTTAGATCCTTCAAGTTTTAGATTGACATTGTGGGATATTTAATGATTTTTCTTTTGTGTGTATTTTAAATTAGATTTCCTGTTTAGTTGGCCTGAATCAAGCTTGTTAATATCACTGGAGGTACCACTGCTGAAGGTAGTAGATTATTGTGCTTCATGGAAAAAATTGTTAAATTGTCATTTCTAAACCTGGGTGATACATATGTGAAGCCTTTCTTCAGGAGAGAAACCTGTGGCCCAACAGAGGTGTGAAAAGAAAAGTGCTTTTAACTTACTTTGAAAATTCCATTCCTTGTTTTCCATTAAAAAAAACAAACCACACTTAAATGCATTTTTCTATCAGCTCTGAGCAAATTTACCTTTTGCATTCAGTGGAAAATAGTGTGTTATAAGGGAAACAAAGTAAAGAGTAAGTTTTTTTGGGTTTGGGGGTTTTTTTTGGGTTGGGTTTTTTTTTTTTTACTTTCTAGCCAGCAAATGTGAAATCCTTTACTGGGTGGCTGAAAAGTTGTAAGGGAAAAATAAAATAAAAACCCATTTGCCAGATGCATGACAATTGAGCTGCCAAATGTGCAGAACATCCATAATATTTTTAAAGAGAAGAGTAAACAAAGGTCACATGTTACTGGAATTGCTTTGGACAAAATTGTTGAATCTAATTTGAAATGAACCTTCTTTTGTTTCTGAGAAGAACAAATCTTAGGTTTCAATAAGTTTGTTCCATTTGCCTTTATCTGATGCCATGGTTACTTACCAAAATGAGTAAATGTTAAAAGTTTTGTCATCCGATTTTTAAAAAAAAAGAAAAAAAAAGGAAAAAAAAAAGCCCAAATGAACAAAAGAAAAAAGAGAGAAAAAGAAGTGGTAATCTGTAGCTGGTGTATCTGATGATCCGTGTATGTAACCATCTGTAGGTGATCTTTGTATGCTGTGTCTGCAGTGATATTCAGATTGCATTTGAGTGAAAATTTAGTAGTGACTGTTACCTTTTGACATTAAAAGATATGTTCTAAAACTAATTTAAAAAAAAAAAAAGAAAAGCCTTACGTATCCCAGAAGTGTACACTTAGATTATGTAAGATACACTGACAGTCCTTGTAGTCTGAGACTGGCTTCCTTAGGCTTAAATACTGGGTGCTTTATATTAAGGACAGTTGTGAGTCTGCTACAGGGGTAGGTTTTGCTCGGGATAGTAAAATACTAAAAAAATGCAGCATTTGTAAGCAGAGGAACCATATGAAGTAGAAGACAAGTAAGGAATGTCTACATACAGTAGGAGACATAAAATAGCATCTTCTAACTGTGTTGTTCTCTACCCCAGGTTGTTTATTGTAGGTGTTACTCCAGCTCAGCGGCTTTCTGTTACAACTTTACTGTGTCAAAGGATTTGCACCCTGTGGGTAAATACTGTCTCGAATTTTACTGTATGAATTTTTTAGGGAGGTGATTTCCTCTAAGAGCCTGCATCTCGTCTCATTGTTCAATCAGATCACAGCAAATAAAGGGACATCATGTTTAATATCTTGTATCTGGCCACATGTGAAACATCTGCTTTCAAGGAACAGAGTGAATAAGTGAAAATCATCCACAAGTAGAACTAATCAACTAATCCATCTAATCCACTCCACAAAACCAAACAGTGGCCAAAGGCAGCACAATGCGTGCCCTAGCTTCTCCTCCGTTTAGACCTCAGCCCTGACAACTTCATGTGGAATTTGGAAAAAACATCCAGATTCCTTGGAATCTGTTGTGGTTGTAGCCCTTACTAAGGAATATTTTTACTTGTACATGTACATGACTTGTACTGAGGTGAAACCACTCTTAAGAACCTGTAGAGGAAGTCAGAATACATTACAACTCTGGAGAAGAAAAGTGGGAGAAAGTGCCTAAATTATATAAACTTAGAAGCAGCCTCAGTTACGCTGGCTTAGAGGAATGAAGTGGTGAGAGGATACATTTGACCAGCACTGAAAGTCAGAATAATCTGAGGAGAGTCTAGGGTGGCTAACTTAAGCAGGGAGTGTAGCCATGGAGAGGTGATCTGGAAGAGTCGTGGTCAGGATGACAGAATGTCTTGTCGGGGACTGTCTAAGGCACTGGCAGTTCCCCAGCAGCCTGCTGATATGAGAGGAGCAAAGAACCCATCAGATTTTCACAGGGGTAAAACTGCTTTTGACTGTAGAGTCAAACCTCTGCTGGCACACTCGGATCTCTGAGACCACTATCCTCAAAGAGGACAAAACGCTGCAGAGCGCTACAGAGCAGCAGGAGGAATGCTGCAGATGCTGTGGCATGGGGAGGTGTAAGGATTGTGGGCTGAGTTGTCCCTGTTTGTGATGTCATTGTTTTGGCCCTGCTGAGAATGTGACAAAAGTAAGATAGTATTAATAGTCAGAACTGGAATTAATTAAATTAAATTAATCTGTCACAAACATCTGTGACAGATGTTTGTGATATACAGGAAGATACTAAGATCTTTTACAGAGTTGGATAGGTGAAGTTAGAGTGGTGTGTATGGCACTGGAGGAGACTTACAGGATTTTTTTGTGAAAGTTCATGTGTCTGCAACAGAAGCAGCAGAAGGGAGTAAGTAAAGGAGATGGAGGAAGGAGATGAAGAAATGTCACAGTCAGCTACACCAACAACAGGATCTTGACCAGAAGCCTAGAGAGTGACTCAGCTGAGTTCTGGATAAGAGTCTTAGAACCACGTGTAGAAAACAGTCTTCTTGCATGACTGTGTGTGTCAGGGTACAGGATTTTTTAACTAACGTTGCCTCAGAAAGGGACCTGAGAAACAAGTGTTTCTTTTAGAGGATGCAGCCTTCTGGCTTATTCAGGGCAAGAGACAACAGTGTTAATTAAAAGCAAAATTTATTTGGCACAGGAAGAAAAATAATCCAGAACACACATGTACACTAAAGGTGAATTTGGAATAGATCCTGCAAGAGGTTGTGTGTTTGTGTGTGGTTGTGAGCATCATTCATTCATATTATTTACATTTGCAGATTCTGAGCAGGTACAAGGACATCGCAAATGATAAGTATAGGACTGGAAGTAAGAACTCATACAGAATCTGAAAGAAAAAACCATCAATTTTGACTGTGCCTTAAATCACTAAAACAGAAGGTAAAATCCACATGCATTTTACAAGCAAGGGTCTGCCACTTCCGAAGGATTTCCTCACCCAGGAGATGTTAGCAGGTAGGTTTTTTCCTTTGTCCTGTTTCTGTCCTGGCATCTGCCTGGCAAGTGTGAAAACCAGGTTTGTTCTATGAAGGACAGAAGTGTCATTACATATATGAGACCAAAGACACCAAACATCAGAGCCCTTGACAGCATCAGTGCAGTACAGTGGACACTTGTCCATAATTGTACAACTCTGGTTCCATGGACAAACAAATAGTTCTGTCTATGGCTGATTCTTTTGCAGAACAAACAGGCTTTGCTGATGCTTCAGTTACAAGTATCTGGCTCTTTATGTATTTCTGTCCTGGCCCTACACAGTCTGACTGAAAGCTGCCAAGTCCTAGGAATTGTCTTTGTGATTCAGTGGCTGGTCAGCATGGAGCAATCCTGACTGGAAAGGGCTAGAGAATTTGTAATTTAATGAGGATGTGAGGGAGAGGGAAAGAATGGAAGGGTGGGGTTTTTTGCCATTAAAAGCCTTAAATTAAAAAAAAAAATCTTCCCAGAGTAGTTTCCTAAAGCTAGGGGAGGAAAGTATCATACTTCTTTCCTCTTTGTAAGGAGGAGAATTGACTTTTAGTTTCATTGAAATTTATGGGACAGGCACCAGCTAAAACATTTTAATCTCTGGGGTTTTCCTTGGTCACATTCTTGAAATGTTGGGAAAACGCTAATTGCAATAAAGGATGGATTTCATCTGTCTTAGGTGCCCTTTTCACACACACCTCTTTGCTTCCACCAGAAGAGGAAAAGCAGGTGGTAAATGCAGGTCAGTCAACACTGTGGGAGAGCTCTAGGCCCTGCATCTGTGGTGGGTATTAGCCACTGCATCCAAGCCTGCTCTGAGGCTTTCCTGTGCTGTTGCCACTGCCAGGAGAGCCATGCAGCATGATGAGTGCTCTTCTCTTGGCACCAAATTCAGTCACCCTTGTGCTGATGCTGAGAGTCCCAAGCCCCTAATCTCACAGCCTTGCATATTTCCCCCAAGACATTGCTGTTGGCCCCACAGAGACAGTTCACAACCTCTTAAGGTGAAGCTGTCCTTTAAGACAAACCAGTGTCCCAAGCTTTTCAAAACAAGGTGATAAAACCACATTTCCTCTTGAAAGTGCCCTCAGAATGCCCCAGCTTCAGGTAGCACCACAGTTCACCAGTAGTACTCCACTGGTAACACCACTGCACCAGTGGTGCCCTTGCTGCTGGGGTGTGACATGGGTGTTGCTTCAGAGGGTTGTGTTTCCATACAAAAGCTACAGTCTTCTGCACAGATCAAAGTTGCGGAGGGTTTCTCATGTCCAAATGCGAGGAGGGTGGCACGTGTGTGGCCTTGTTCTGTCCTTGCAGAAGAAGGAGATACTATGACTTTGAACATGGTGCACCATTGACTTTTCTGCCCTAGAGCCTTAATTTTTACCTTGAAGAACCATTCCAAAGCTGCACGTGATTGGGCTTGTAAGGTGGTGTCAGGCCAAAGAATTATTATCAAAGTGTATTTCAGACGTGTTACAGACCAGGAGCCAGGACACTGGTTGACTGTCAGTGTCTGCATTGATCCGCAGTGGGGATAAGGTCTTTGTCTCTTGTGGCAATCCCTGGGCTCAGCTTGCATCACCTGCCTGGAGACATGGGCAATTCTGACAGCAGGAGCAGAGATTCATACAGCAGGAGGCAATTCAATAAACAGGGTGCCACATAAAAGGTGAAGGAGGATTTTGGGGAATGACTGAAGTCCAAAAGAAAGGATGTTGCTGTTTAAGCAGTACAATACTCAGGTGCTTCAGCTGATGCTCCTTAGACCTTCTCAAACCACCCAGGTAATGCGAGCTGGCCTCCTGGAAGACATCTTCGATGGCGCATTTTTTGGGAAAGTAGAGGAAAGAAGGGAATTTTAGACTTCTGGCCAGGATGCCAGGGCTGCAAAGGTAACCCTTCTTTTGTGGGTGAGCCCAAATAAGACCTGGCATGAGTTTGGAAGAGCAAAGATGTATGGCAAATCAAGCGGTTTTGGGGGATGAGGGGGAGGAGAAGATAGTGGGATTCAGCCAAAGCTTTCCAAAACTGAGGGAAGTTAAGTCAGGCAGGGATGAAAGCTAGCAAGTTCCTGTGCTTTTTGGACATGCTGTTTGAGCTCCACTGCAACCCAAAGCCTGGCCCTGCCCTGTGCTAGAAAGAGCAGGATGCGTTTGTAAGGCAGTTGTGACAGTCTCCTCTCCCCCACCCCTCCACCCTCTGTGTTAGTCAGGGGAACCTTGGGGCCTTGCTGTCTGTCTCCACCCTTGGGGACCTGGGGAAGCACTGTTGTGCTTAGGCTGTGGCCTGCCTTTCTTGGGGCTGCTTATTTCTTTTTGAAGAGCTTGCGGAAGGAGCTCCGGAAACCCCCTTTGGGCTCGTGCCGCGGGTTGTGGTCGCTGAAGGATGTTTGCTCATTGTCATCCTTCTGGCAGAACCTGGTGTTGTCTTCTGCATGGAGCTCCTAAAAGGGAAAAGACAATTTAACCAGCATTTGCAACCTCACATTCTTGTTCCCTTCTCTCTTTCTCTGTCTCTCTGTGCTAGGAGGGACCTGGTGAGTGAGGAGGTGCTGGCAAGGCTGGGAAACAACAGGTCACTTGGGCCTCAGGAACACTGGTACCTCTGCAGAGAGCTTGTTGCTGGCTCTGAGGCTGAGGCAGTGACAGAGGAGTAGAAGGATAAGCTTTGTTAGAGGGAACTGGAGCCTTTCTTGCTAAGCTTTTTGTTTAGGGAGAGCTTACTATCTCCTTTTGCCAGTGAGGGAGCAAGCCAGCCTGGGCAGTTGGAAAAACTTCCCACCCTCTCCTTTCTCCCCTAGGGCAGGGAGGCTTCAGGCTTCTTGAGCTGTGATATGTTGTAAAAGACTCTTCTGCTGGCTCTGCTGCTGCATGGTTTTATATCTGTGGGGCAGAAGGCTTCATTAGCACACAAAGCTTCTGGTAAATGTGCCTCTAAAAGATCTTTCCCTCTTTCAGGAGAGTGCCAAGCTCCTCTCAGCAAGACTGGACAAGACCCTTTTCTCCAATTCTGCCCACCACTGCCATGGTGACCTCCTTTGCTATGTGAGGGAGAACGTATCCTGCAGTTCTGGACAAGCTCCACATCTGCACCCTGCTGTGGGCCACAGCTCTGTGCAGGTGAGTGCCAAAGAGCTCACAGGCTCCTGTTTCTGTGGGACCTGTGTCCCCATGGCTTATCCCCTCTGCCTTGTGTCCTCTCTCTGTTCAGCCACCCACCACCTCCTTTACTCAATAGGTTTGGGTTTTTTCCTTTTCTTTTGATGTTTCCTTGCTGCCTTTTCAGTCAGGCTGTTAGAACCTACCTCCCATCATTATCTGCATCTACAGCCTCATCTGTATCTTGCCTAGTTTTAACAGGAGGGTGTTTCTCCACACGACAGTGACAGAACTAGCTGTGCACTCTTGGCCTCTTCCCCAGGAATTGAAGGGCATCTACTTCCTGGAGTGTAACAGCTCAAAGCTGACTTTGGACTGTCACTGCAGACTGCAGAAACATTGTTCCTCCAAGACCTGGTGTTCCTGAATGGTTAGAGTGCTGCTTGCCATGTCCCATCTGAAGGACAAGGTTGCTGGGTTCTGACTGTTCTCACATAGACTTTGGCATGGGTCTTTTGCATGGGTCCATGCAACAGATGCAGGTGAAACAAAACCTGTGGACCAGATCCTTGCTGGTGTTAAATGGGTTGAGTTTGGCCAAGTCATGCTGGTTTACACCAGCATGACTTACCCAGCACTTACCCAGCACTCCTCCCAGCAGGTGGAAAGGCACCTGTTTAACTGGGTGCCACCCATAGCACGGATTTCAAACAGCTTTGTGCATACTTTATGACCTGATCAGAGCATTCACTTGTGGGGGGCGAAGCTCACTGACAGGTGGAGACACACAAGAGGCTACCTGGTCTGAAGGGTGTCGTAGCTGTCACTCAGCCAGCTGTGCACCTTTAACCCCTGCTTGTCCCCGGGGAAGACATGTTTGAAAAGGAGCTGTCTTGTCCCTCCCTTGGGCATGTACATGCAGGTGAGGACTTGGAATGTGTGGACTTGAAAGCTATTTTGGCGTGTTCTAGTCTAACTGTATCTCAGATCTTTCTCCTGCTGCTGCACCACCACGTGCCATTTTTTTTCTCCTCCTATTTTAGCCTCCTTACTTCCAAAAAGCTCGGCTTTTCACCCGCTCCTCTCTGTGGGGGGAAGTAGCTCCTTTGGGAGCTTCGAGATGAAGCTGAGATCAAGTGAGGCTGAACATTCCTCTCCTGCTTCTGCTGCAGACGACTTCCACTGCTGCTCCGTGTGCTGTAGAGTCTGGTGCTCACACCCTCAGCGCTCCTCGGCAGCTCCTTCAGAGACCTGCTCAGCTGCTTGCCTTTGCTGTGGAACATCTCACGCTTGTAAGTACTGCTGCTCACGGGAGTGCAGCTCTTAGGCAATGGCTGTAAGGCATGGTCTGTCCTCTCTGGTTCTGAGGTGAAGTTAACAGGCCTAAGGAAGCAAATATCTAAGCTGGACTCGGAAGAGGCTGGAGAGCAATTATCAAAGAGAGCGAGGTTTTGAAAGGTGTCTTCTTCATAGGGGCCTGGCATGGTGAAAACCTCCCCAGGGTAGTCAAATTCTTCGTAGCTTGGTGCAAAGTTCCTCGCATCCTGCAGCAGCTCCACGGAGGTCCTGATGGCTCTCTCAGTGTTTCCCACCGCATCAGCTGGTGGTGCTTCATACTCCATTTCAGGGATGGATTGTAAGGGGGCTGTCAAAGCCTTCAGTTCCTGCTCTGTCAGCTGAGAGGATGCAAGGATGTTCTCTGGCCTCTCATGTTTTCTACTTTCCATCTCCCAGTCAGGGGGCTTTACAGCCTGGATGTTCTCAATCACAGTTGGCTGGGGTTTCTTCATCTGAGGCATCAAATGCCTTAAAAATAAGAAACAAAACAAAAAAACAGACGGAAGTGGAATACTAAAGATGACAAAGACAGCACGACAAGCCTCCCCCACCCCTTCATTCACCCAGCCCTATTGTGTTGATTTATGGCCCAAAGGTATTTTCCTGTCTTGGAGAATAGTAACAGAGCTGTCACTCACAGAAATTGCCTGGCTGGTTAGGAGGAGCAGACTTGCAGAGACAGAACTGTTTATCCAGTAGCTTTGGCTGACTTTTGTACTCTACAGCACGAAATGAATAGAAACTGAGATGAGAAACCAACTGCTCCATCTCTCTCCTGTTCATCTGCATTTTGGATTTTTATTTTCCTGCTCTTTCTGTAATGTAGGGGCTGTGCCTTACTTTCCTGTGGTCTGGTTGTCTTTTCAGGTGGACAGGATTTCTCTCTTGGGGAGGGTGGCTCTGTACCCAGAAGTGTGTCAGGAGTACTTGGAGGTCTGCTACCCTCCTCATGTTCCAGGTAAATCAGGAGTGCTCTGTTGGATGAGGTACTAGGTGCAGGGCGTGACCTCCATGGCCCTTAAAGAACAATAGTTAGGAAAGTCCTATGGCCATCTTCTGGGGTCATAATGAATGGAGTGAGGGAATCTTGTGATGTTCAAGACATGCAGAGTTCTGCATCTGGGACAAGATAACCCCATGCATCAGACCAGGCTGGGAGATTTGGGTTGAGCAGCAGCCCTGGTATGAACTCGGTGTTATAGCCAATACCAGGGTAAGGATGAACTGACAGCATGCTCTCATGTCAGGCAAGGCAAACACAGCCTGAGTTGTACTGCCATATCTGCATGGCCAGATGTACCTGGGGAGTTATTTTCCCCACTTCTTCTCAGTACTGATGAGGACCCACCAGGCCCCATGCTGAGTCCTCTGCTGAGGATGAATGTGGGGGCAGTGCCAGCTGAGGCTACCAAGATGGGGGCCTGGAGCATGATGTCTGTGAGAGGAGGGAGATTGTCTTGGGCAATCTGGTGAGAAGGAGGCTAAGGACCGATCTAATAACACTACTACTTCAGGGGGACTTGGAATGATGATGCCAAACTCTTATTGTTAGTATCAAATGATGTAAGGAAGCACAACAGCCACAAATTGTTGGCATAAGAAAAAAGGCAAGTCTAGCGTGCTTCTCTAGTCCTCATCTCAGTTGGCACCTATCAATAAGCTGGAAATGGCCAAAGGGGAAGCTGTATGAGGAGCAGTTGAGGTCACTTGGTCTGTCAGCCTGGAGGAGACTGAGGGGAGACCCAACTGCAGTCTGTAGCTTCCTCATGAGGGGAAGTAGAGGGGCAGGCACCAATCTCTTCTCTGGTGACCAGTGACAGGACCTGAAGGAGTGGCCTGAAGTTGTCAGGGGAGGTCTAGGTTGGATATTAGGAAAAGATTTTTTACCCGGAGGGTGGTTGGACACTGGACCCAGGGAGGTGGTCACAGCACCAAGCCTGTCTGAGTTCAAGAAGCTTTTGAACAATGCTCTCGGGCACATGGTGTGACTCTTGGGGCTGTCCAGTGCAGGGCCAGGAGCTGGACGCAAGGATCCGTGTGGGTCCCTTCCAACTCAGAATATTTTGTGATTCTGTGAAGATTGCCAGGTCCTACCAGTAGCTGTTTCTGTCTTGAATTAGTCTGATGTCTTTTTGAACCCATATTGTACTTGTATCTTGTGATAGTGAGTCCCATCATTCAATTATGTGCTGTGTGGAAAAGTATTTTTTTTCCTACTCTGAGACCTTCATCATGTTTCCTAGCTCTTGTAATGTTCACAGTGAATAGTGCGAGTGTTACTATGCACACCACTCTCAGGCCTACACAAATTCATATTCTCCCTGTTAGGCAGCTAGCTGTTAAGGCAGCTAGCAAGAGCGTTGACAGCCTTGGGTAGAGCTCTGAAACATTTCCTGCTTGTAAGCCACATGGTAGGGGATAGCAGGAAGGAGCCAGCCCTTAATCCCTCTATCTATGTACAGGGAGTTGTTTTGAAAATGACAACCTGTAACTGCCTGGTGTCACTGCATGGTATGGGTGAGGAGAGTTTTCAGCCTACTTTGAAAGCCACCTACTAGAACAACAGGCTTACGGGGTTGTTGTGCCAGAGGAAGGTGCTGCCTGGAACGATTGTATTGTCTCTTCAGTGTGGATCCCACTGTCCCGCATTGATGCTGCACTGGGTGTTGGAGAAACCTCCTGGCTTGTACACTGGGAGGTGAGACCCTTGTACAGCTTCACCAGGGATGACCTGAGGGAGGAGAAATCCATCGTCGGGCTAAGAAATAAGGCAGGGAATGAGCACGAGCATGTAGAATCACAGGAAACAGGACTGGGAGGGACCTTAATATTCCCGTTCACCTCTTCCCACCCCAAGGAAAACTTGTTCCACCTAGTCTGTTCCAGTCAGCAGGGCCTCCTGCTTTCTGTCCTGTTCTTAATGCCTCTTCTGATAGCAGTCCCTCCCCAGCAGTCTGCTCCAGCCCTTTACCACCCTCCATATTTGAAAGCTTCCCTTGAAATTTGATCTTGTCCTACTTCCCAGGTAAATCATCACAAGGAGCAAAGGCAACCAGATTTTAATTTGAGTAAAAAGTCTTGATTTCAAGAAATTGTTCTGAACTGCAACTTGAGAATCTACATTCATAGATCGTACATTATAGTTCATCTCAAACAGGTTATGGGAGGCTTTTGTTTCTCCCACCCCTTCCCCCAGTAAAATAAGGTAACCCTATTCTTTTGGAGTCTTAGCCCATGAAGGAAACATTCACCTTCACCAGGGCCTCGAGCTGCCAAAGCAGCTAAATCCCTGTGTGTTTTTCCACTGAGGAGTGACTTTGACATCAGCTTAAGGAATCAGCTGATCCCATGAAACACATGGCTGCTATGTTTAGAAGGATTTAAATGTGATTTTCCTTTCTCTCTCAGAGTTAGACAGAAGGGCCCACCCCAAATCAGTTTGGAGGCCAAATGCCAATAGCAGTCCTTCTCCAGCACTCCTATACAAAGGATCTGTTTTATTTCAACAGAGCAATGTGCCTGTTGATCTTGCCTGGGCCTAAACCCCCTGCTGCCTGGATTCCCTCGCACCTCCCCTCCCTCATCATAGGGAGTATAAGCTGATGATGTGCTTACTTCTTCAGCTTTTTCCTCTTCTGTATCAGCAGGTCTTCATTGCATTGGAAGAGGAGACTATAGTGTGAGATGAAAACCCGGAGGCGCTGCACACACACCAGCAGCAGGTAATAGTCAGGATGCTCTTGCTCCGTGAACTTCAGGACATTCTGAGGCACAGAGGAGAGCAGGCTGTTTGGAGGGTGTCCTAACCCTTTCTTGGTAGAAGGTGCTACTGGAACCATGGATTAGTGCTCTGGAGTGCACATGGCACTGCCCTTTGGGAGCTTTTCTAGGCAGCATCAGTTTCTGAGGGACTTGGATGGGGCCTGCCTCCTGCTACTCCAGTGGAAATGCACAAGTAACCACGTGGAATGTGTGCGTGATGCACTGGTTGAGCTTAGCTTTGGATAAATAAACCAGTGTCTTGGCTTTATGGGGCCTGCTTTCTGTGTCATTTGCCTTGCCTGAAATGTTTCAGTACAATTCTGTGAACCAGAACTCTTTTTATCAGCCATCTCTCTGTGGGAAAGATTGTTGGGCCCTAGGAACCCTCTCAGTCTCTCAGCTAACACACATGTGGAGCACTCAGCAAAGAGCATAGCTGTTAGGTTGGAGCTCACAGGAGATGTGTCCCATCTCTGTCCTCCCATTCTCCCAGAGCAGCAGGCAGCAGACTTTTTGCCTTCCCAGAGGACAAAAGTTTGTTCTATCAGGTCAAATGGAGAAACTGGCAAAAATAAGCGAGCTTTGGTGAAAATTATGAAAATTGAGCTATTTCTAGCTGGCTTTCCCTTTCAACTTCTTTTTTTTTTTCAAAGAGCCCACTGGGTTTGCCAGAAGCCCTGTACCTGTATAGGCTCAAATACCGGCTCTGAATTAAAAGTCATCTGCTGTGATAAGAGTTCAACAAGACAGTTGCCATCCTGGGGCCTTACCTGTAGATGAATAAGGTATTCAGGGATTCGCTGGACTATATGGAAGAACAGAATGTAGAGATCAGACTTGATTTCTTCTTCTACCTGAAATAGAGAAAGCAACCTAAGAGTCTTTCCCACCCATAAAACATGTCTGCTTCCAAATGGTTCTGTGGTTTAATGAGTAGTTGCGCTGTAAGTAGTTTTAAGAGTTCATAGGAGCACACCAGTCAAGTGGCAGTTGTGTGTGACAGCACACTGTGACACATCTTCATCTTGCTTATGGAAGGGACAGTTGCAACTCCTTCCACCAGAAATACTAGGATGAAATTGTTTAGGGTGGAGATTATTTATGAGGGACTCTCAGCCTAATTAAGCAGGGGTGTATGTTTGAGGGGCACTAGTTAAGTTTCAGTGAAATGCCAGGTATACACTGTTGTTCAGAATGAAGTTCTTAGCTGAGGCCCAAATGAATTGAACAAGATGAGATTGACTTCTAAATTAAAATGTCTTGAAAGCAAGCTAGTGTGGTTTAGTTATTGCACTTTAAAACTACCTTTACATTTAACTTTCCTAGTTTAGACCAAGAATCAAGTGTGTGAGGCCGAACGCCTGAAGCTGAACAGTGAAGACTCTTATCTATAAAGCACTTACAGCCTCACTCTTGATCTCTCTGTTTGGATGAGTCCTCCATTTTCCAGGAGACACTGTTTGGAAGAGATCTGGATAGCACATGCATAGGCAAGCTTTTGGGAGGCTTAATCTGAGACGCTGTTTCATGTCCCAGCAGAAAAATAGGTTGGGTTACACACAGTGTTAAAGCTGCCTTTTGTAGGTGTGTGTCAGCCATGGCAACTTTGAGGAAACTGGCATTTGGCAACAGAACAAGTGGATTGGCAGAAGAGTCCTATCATGGGCAGGCATAATGGGAAAAGATCCAGGCTTGCATGTTGCCATTAGATGTCTTTGAAGTGGGCAGGAAGTTTACCTCCTTCAGGATCACCACGTGGATCAGAGAGATGCATTCTGGCAGGTCCCTCAGGTAAGCAACATAGTAGTCCAGAAAATTATTCTTACAAAAGAAAAAGAGGAAAGAACAAAGAAACTTAAGAGAGATTTTTGGTCATAGAACCAGCCAGAATGAGAAACTGTTGATTCCCCACCATCACTCCTGGAAGGTCATCAGGGCAGGAGAGCTGCTAACTGTGTGACTCTTTCAGGGCTCGGAACTTCTCACGAAAGGCCATTTTATAGAATGTGTTCAGCTGTTGAGCACAGTGTGTGAAGCTTTACAACAGTGGGGAGGGGAAGAGAGGCTGGGCAGCAGGAACCATTTCTTATTTAAGACTCTAAAAAATTTATAAAGCATCAGATGAGTTTTTACACATTTTTGCTGGAGAGGTCCCGCTGCTCACCAGGGCAGACCTTCACCCTGAGAAGC